ATGACAAACATCTCAACAAGAAAGACAAAGGAAAAATTTAGGACGTAAATAAAAGTTTATTGATTGATAAAAATGATCGAAACCTACTATGATCACCATCTACTCGAATAGAATCGAGGATTTTTTTTCATCAGGACGTAAATAAAAGTTTATTGTCATCTTTTATGAAGGTGTTCAAAAAAATAGGTTTGGATACCCAGATGGCGATACGTTGGTCAAAGAGGGGACTCTTAGAAGGGCTCTCGAGCTTAAAGGGAAGCTCGAAAAGCCACATTGTGGCAGCCCAAGGAAAGAGGGTGTTGCGCTCGACATATATGAACTTCTCCTTCCATTAGAAATGAAGTGAGCTTTATTTCGACTCTTCAAATAGAGCCACTGAGCTTGTTTGGAAGGCATATAGCAATAACATAAGAAATTTAGGTCGAATCGATCTTGACAGATGTGAGAAAGAATAATTGTAACGCCCCAATTTTATTTGCCAAAATTCAAGATAAATTTTTCAAAATTTATTTTAAAATCATTGTGGCGTTACTCATTTTCATAGCGAATAACAATAATCAACGTTAATATCAATAGAATACTGCTGGTAGACGTATCGAATGCCCCATGGGCTTTTATCGAATGCCCCTCAGGCTTATACGTCTAATGCCCCTCGGGCTTCTACACAGAATGCCCCTCGGGCTTCTATCGATGCAAGTGGTAGGAGTAAACCCCACGAGTTTTGCTTTACAGTTACGGGGATAACCGTTCGACGACTGACACAGCTCACATCGAAGGCTACATATTTCACATACATTGTAACACCCCGCTATTTGATATACATCAGAGTACGCGGTTTTTCGCAAATTTTCTGAATAAATAAATAAATAAACTAACTTCTTAATTTGCGAAACTGATTCGGGGGTTACCGTGAAAAACTTGATCTTCTGAAAACCGTTAGAATTTAAAACTGATACATAAAACGGTTATAATTTATTATCCGACTAACGTCGGGGCAAAGTATGAAAGTTTTAGCGGAAGTCTAGCGTGGCAATAACATGAAAGTCTGATAATAAGTTCTGAAAAGTTTTAACATCCAACATCAAGTACATCAAACTCAAAATATCCTGAACAGCTCGCCCGCCCACTCCTCATCTCCGACCCTGCGACCTGAAAAACATGATAGATGTGTGGCGTGAGCACTAAGGCACTGTGCTCCGCAGAAACTCATGCTAATGTAATAC